AATTCGTGTAGATAATGGGCTTAGGGAGGGGCGTTATCACTAAAATTTGAATCCCCGTGTATTTCCTATGGGGTTCGATCTTTTGATGATGTAACGATAGTACAGAGATAGAAGGATGAAAATTTGGGATTACTTACTACTCTGTGTATCGTTGAGATGTACGTGACCATTTACGTCAGAGTTGTTCCACTCCGGGGGGGGGGCGTTAATTTCGTTTTCTTTTCCCGAGCTAGCGCAACCTCATTTGCAACTACAGACTCTTGACCGGTTCTAATGGATTCCTCTTGTGTTTGCTCATAACCAGGCACAGTTTCAAGTTGCTGGGTGTCTTTCTTCTATTTTATTTAATTGTTTTAAATGTTTTAATTATTTTAAAATGACCATAACTCGGGGGGCTTTTCAGGCGAATGTCTTAATTTTTTCAGAAACTATTCTTCCCTCCGAGACATTCAATATGAGATCTCAGATGCCACATTCGGCTCACTTCATCTGCAGATACAGTCTGATGCCCCGCCCCCCATGTTATTAGTCCTATTGTTCCTGTACGGGGTTGTTTCATTTTATTTAAATTGTGATTATCTGAGGTTTGGTTGGTCCAATTGACTGAAAGGTTAGTATCGTTCAACTCTGCTCGTGACCGCCTTTCACCCTTGGCGCAGCTTGCCCTGCTAAAGATTTTTAGAAAGATTTTAATCTTGTTACGCCAAAGAAGTATAACTTCTTAGTGCGTACATAAGTACACACACACTTTTTTTTTAAAAAAGTACAAAACATATTCCTTAATATGTTTTGTAACTCCTCCTTTGCTGCCCAGCCATTATGGTGGTTATGACACTCGGCTTGTAAAAGGGTGGGCTTGGGTTGAAATTCCGAATAAGGCATTGATGTATCTTCGGGAAAATAAGTTGGACTTTTCCCTGAAATGGATTTCCGTCTCTAATGGAAAGCAGCGCACCCCTTCTGTTCCATGCTGGTATCATCGCTTGTAATAAAGTCTATACTCTTCTGTGATTGTATTTTTTGTTTTTGTTCATATATCTCTTGTCTTTCGTATGTACCGCAGTATGAAACGCACGACAATAGCTCGTACTTCATACTTGAAACTGAAGTACTTCTTTATAAAAATATAAATAATGTCAGTATTTTTCTGCTGACAATCAAAAAATTTCATGAACCACAGATTGATGACCGCTGATTTAAAGAATAGAATTTTTGAACACTGCTTGAAGAGAGAACGGTACATTTAATCACTTTGCGAAAAATTCTAAATGTTTTGATAAATAGGGGCAATAAATTTCTACAGTTGCATGCCAGAAAAATAATAATTATGTTAGCAATAAATAGCAAGAAGTGTAAAAGTGCGAATCTGCATAAGAAATATGAAAATCTTCAATTAAATTTTCGTTTTTCCCCCTTTTTCAGAATCTATTTAATAGAAACTGTACAAAATGAATATAAATTTGAAATATTCATTTTTGAAGTTTAAATCTCATGTTTAACATTTAAGTGTAATCATTAACACAAGTTTGGGCGCTAATGATTTAATGTGAGTTTATTGTGATTCAATAAATGTACATTTATGATCATTGTTGTAAGCTAAACTTTGAAATTCAGTAAATTGAAGAACTAGTACTTTCGAGTGATGGTATAAGATTTTCTTGATCTGTACAATACAGTATAGTGGTTCGGTATAACGGTGACCCATCCGGTAAAGTGGTTAATGATGCTGACTGCTGTGGCGTGGGGCCTGGGTTTGACTCCCGCAGAAAGCATAGGTGTTTGTAAAAGTATAGTTCCTTCTAGGCATAGGGGTACTCTAAATAACCGTCGAGCCGCAAGTCCTTTCGTGAGGTTGACGGAAGAAGCGAGGTGAGATGTTTCCCTCAAAATTTGGGTGGTAATGAGCTAAATAGTGCTGCCATTTGAATGGTGGTCAAAGTTACGGTTAACGACAGGCGTACATTCTCGCCCTTTGAAGTGATGAATTTCGTAGGCATCGATCTAGCACTGCTGATCAGTGGGCATTAGCAACAACAAGCGCTTTTTTATAGTAAATGTATTGCTAATTAATGTTCAATTGATTCAATTAATTTTTCAATGCAGTATTTAAAAATATTTTTATCACATTTAATGTAATTCATTTTAGCTTCAATCAAAATGGGTTAAAATTTTTCATTGTGTATTTTTTTTTGTTATTTGACTGTAAATAAAGTAAGTTAAAGAAATAAATGGTTTTTAACTGTATGATTATATTTTATATTCGCATTAGAACACTTAACAAATAACTATCTTTTGATTGAAAAGCTGGCAGCTTCTTAATACAAATATCAGAAATGTCTAGTATGTTCAGAATAATAATTTCCGTTTTTGACTTTTTTCCAAAACAAACTGCAAAATATTTTTTTTCTATCTTATCCTTATTTTGATCCGTGAATGTTATATGCATTCCTATAATTAAGTTTCAACATTACTTGTAACAAAAAGTCGATAGAAATAATTGGAGTTTTAAAAAGTGTAAAATAAACCAAGCATTTATTACTTAAAAAGGATAAAATAAACCAAGCATTTGTTACTTAAAAACTTACTTGTGTACATTTATTTTATCTTTTAACACTTTTTAAAGTTATTTGGATCCAAAATAAGATTTTAATTCACTTAAGGGACATTTTATAGTAATGTCCAAGCAAGTTTGCAATCATTTCATGGCTTTTACTTTAGAATAATTTAGAAGAATACACATTGATTTAAATCCGGAAGTATATAAGTACATTAAAATATATAAATACTTATTACTTTTTTCAGGCATTATAAATGGCCACTGTTTGTGCCGAATCTGCACAGAAAGTGGTGCAAAGTGGTACTCCTTTTTGAATTCTAAGAGTATAAATAAAAAAAATTATTATTTTGTTTGTTCATTCTTATTTATTGTTCATCTTCTTTACAGTGCATGTTAATTCCTTTAATTTTATATTTACCACACAGTCAATTTCAATTTTTTTTGTGTTCCCCCCCCCCTTTTAAAAAAGTTAACCTCTTAAGTTTTAAAAAAAAATTTAGATAATTTCGTTTTAATAAAATATTCATTGAATAACAAAAATATTCATCTGCTCAATGTATATACATTTTTGTTCATTTATAGGATCATTTTTGTTATCTACATATTGTTGGTTGAAAAAAAAATATTCAAAATTATAATTCTCTTTAAAAATTCATATATTCAATTTTATTATTCTTTATTCATACATTAAATTTTTTTGAAGATAATCAAATCGATTGTTTAGAATAATTACGTTTTACTGAAAACAAGTCTTGTGGTATATTTTAACAATGAGCATTATATGGCTGAAGTATGTAATACTCATATTCCAATCGTCAAAATTTAAACTGCGTAAAGAACTTAATGATGAACAGTTCGAAGGAACTGTATAATAAAAAATGCTAATATATATTGATCGTTTTTTAATAAATATAATGAAATAATTATTACAATTCACAGTACCATTATTTTATAAATGTATTCAGTCATTGAGTTGAAAAGTTAATTAAGGAATATAAATGAAAAGAACACAAAATAATCATTATTCCTACTAAATAATTATTTTGGGAAAAATAGAACACAACGGACAAA